GATTGATTCAGTGACTGGGGTAATCGGGATGGGTGTGTCAGAGGCAGTGCGATTGGCACAGGATAGAGCAAGGTTTAGGGCTGTTGTACATAGGGTCGTAAGCGACTCGATGGCACATAACAACAACAACATGAGTCATATTAAACTTGATATCACTTAATAACAAAAAAGACCTAGTTTAATTGCTGTATTTGCGCAGTTAGTTTTCAGATTAAAAAGTGTAAGCCTCCTCCTTTGTTTTCCTTCTCCAGTAGCACTTTGCTTATTCAAGGTCTTTTCCATTTAGTCATAAAGTTCATATTAAAGAATAATCATTTTTTCTACTTTATAGAAGAATGATGGTGGTATCTATATTTGGTTACATTATACTTTGAGAAAGTACCTGACTGCCTTCCATAGTGGTTGTACTATTTTACATTTCCACCAACAGTGAAAGAGTTCCAAACTGTCTAACATCCTCACCAGTATCTGTTGCTTGCTGCCCTGTTGAACTTTGCTTCTGTTCCTGGGGTAAGATCATATTTCATTGTTGTTTTTATTTGCATCTGTCTGATAGCTAAGGATTTTGAACATTTCTTTATGTGTTGTTGGCCGTTAAATGTCTTCTTTGGTGAAGTACCTATTCATATCTTGTGCCTGTTTTTGTGACTGGGTCGTTTGCCTCTTTCTTGTTGAGGTGTTGGAATATTCCATACATTTAATGTATAATTTATTATCAGATATGTCACTGTCAAATGCTTCCTTTTTAACCTGTTGGAGAAGTTTTCAAATGTGCTTAAATATTTTGTTTTAAAAGCTCTATTTTTATCCTCTCCTGGCTGTAGGTTTTTTATTATACTTGGAAGTCTATGCATTTTATAGGGAAAAAATATATATATTACAATAGCTAACTACTAGATGAAATACTAGGAACAAATTTAACTAGAGACACAAAAGATTTCTACAAAGAAAATTTTAAAAAAACATCAAGAAACAAAGAGAGGGAGGGCAATGGAAGGATATATTACGTTCATGGATGTGGTTGTTGCTGTTGTTAGGTGCTGTCAAGCTGAATATGACTAACAGTGACCCTAAGAACAGTTGACTTGAACTCTGTAATATCCTGACCATCCTCATCATTTCTGACAAACTTGAGTCCACTGTTGAAGTCACCATGTCAGTCTATCTTATATTGGGGCTGTGGAAGCTCTTCCTCTCCTTTACTGACCCTCCATCTTTCCAAGCATGAGGTCCCTTCCCAAGGAACAGCCTTGTCTAGCTACATATACAAAGAAAGGAAACTGAAGCTTCACCATCATTGCCTCCACAGACCACTCTGGCTGCACCTTCTCCAAGACATAGCTGTTTGTTCTTTAGCAGCCCACAGGATATTCAGTACTCTTCTCAACATCACAGATCAAAGGCATCACTTTTTTTTCTTCTGTCATCCTTATTCATTGTCCAGCTCTCAGATATATAGCAAGCAATTGAAAAGAATCTGAATCAGATACAACTTAGTCTTCAAACTAATATAATTTCTCCTCAATAATTTGGAGAGGTCCCTCACTGCAGACTTTCCCAGTGCGATACATATCCTGATCTCCTGACCACCGATACCAAACATATTGATTGTGGATCCAAGTAAGATTAAGTCATTTCAATCTTTTTTCCATTCATTATTTCTCCATCCTTTCTGTTAACATTGTCTAACTGAGCAATTGCTTATCATCTTATTCTGCATAAAAGAGTAACATTACTATTAATGAATATGATTACTGTTGGCAAAACCATGACATAGTGGCTACAGCAATGGGAATTACAAAAATTAGGAGGATGGTACAAATTGTTTCATTCTGCTGTACATAGAGTTGCCATAAGCCAAAACCATCTCAGTAGCATTTAACAATAGCAACAGTAGTGATGCTTATTTTATAGACAAGAGTGGCATTGACATTTTGTTATCAAACTTGAAACTTGCTATAAAATCAGAAAGATTAATTTTCTAACTAAATCGTTTTCTAACAAGAACATATGTGCCTGTTTTGTTTAAAATTTCTTCTTAGAATCCTGATAGGTTTGCCATGACTAACTCAAGGACAATAAGAAAGGCAGAGATTGTATAATACAGAAACCTAACGGCATCTAACCACCAAAACACAGAAAAATGCCTACAAATTTTGCTTTAGAGTATAGCAGATAACATGGACAGGTGCAATTATTTTAAATTAAGAGATTATTCAAGTATGCTGACAAGATTAACAAGAACACTGGAAATTTCTAGAGCAAAGATTCTGAACATGTACATCAGAATATCTCTCCTACTTTTAGACATATTTTTGGTATTTACAATCATGAATACCTTTTCTTTGATTCTTCCCATAGCATTACTTGGTCTCTATTATTTTTAGAAGCTTAAAACACAGTTAAGGGTGTGTGTGTGTGTGTGTGTGTGTGTGTGCGCGCGCGCGCGCGCGAGCGCTCCTAGTTGGGGGCCTGGCGAGAGCAGGGCCAGTGTCCTGTTAGCTTCATGAGCAGGAGGCCAGCTGTATGACGAGGATGTGGCTGCACACAAGCCGCCGCTGTGGCGACCACATGTCCTGGCCTCACCTTCACCACAGTAACTGAGTTTTCATTTTCTTGTGGAGTTAACACCAAATAAAAACTGAAAAAGAAAAAAAAAAAACAAACACACACCAAAAACCCAGTTTATGTTACCAAGTTTCTTTGGAATTTTTCTATTTTGAAATCTCCGTATTGTGTCAGGTGCTAAGGTAGTCCTGGTAACCTAACAGATAAGGAATTGAGTTGCTAATGCAAAGAGAGGCAGTTCAAATCTACCAGCTGTTCCTCAGGAGAAAGGTGGGCAATCTCTTGTGTGATGGACAGTCGCTAAAAACCTGCTGGAGAGTCAGTTACAAGTTCACTGTTAATCAGTTCCAGTTCACTGTCAATCCGTTGTGTATTTTCTTACATACTTACTCTGTAGGGAATTACCCTTCTGATCCAAGGCTACACCTGTGGTAATTCAAATCCCAAATCTCCTCTAAAGCAATTTATAGCCTTGGAAATACACTAGTGGGCCAGTTATGAGTCAGTCCGAGCAGTGAAAGAAAAGGAGAGAGAGACAGAAAGGAGGGTGGTGTGGAGACTGTGTAAATTCCTTCTTCATCTTATAGTCAAAGAAGATGACTCTTAGTTTATTTTCCCAAGAATAATATATAATATCCATGTGAAAGAGAAAGGGATAGTGACAGTTGGACTCTCCATTGAGAGTAGAGTAAAAGCAATCAGTTGAGTAAAAACAAAGAGATGATGAAAAAAGTTATTGAAGGAAGTGTGATCTGAGAGCAAAAAATGTCCAACTGGAAAGCTGTAGGTTTACTATCATGAGTCTTTGCACATAGAGGGTTTAAAACATGAAAGATTAAGACATAACTTGAGTGAATTTATATTTTTCCCTATTGGGCACTTCCTTAAAGGATCATATGGAACAAGACACTGGGATAAACAAGACAGTTCTCACTGAATTCATCCTGCTGGGCCTTGTGGAATCAGAAGAGTTGCAGACTGTGGTCTTCGTACTCTTCCTTTTTGCCTACATGATCACAGTGGGGGGTAACCTTACCATCCTGGCAGCTATTTTGCTGGAACCCAAACTCCACACACCCATGTATTTCTTCCTGGGAAACCTGTCAGTTCTGGACATTGGGTGCATCACTGTCACTGTTCCTCCAATGCTGAATCGTCTCCTGTCCCACAAACGTACGATTTCCTATAAAGCTTGCCTCTTCTTCTTCCACCTCCTGGCTGGAATGGACTGTTTTCTGTTAGCAGCCATGGCCTATGACCGCTTCCTGGCCATTTGCCGGCCCCTCACCTACAGCACCCGCATGAGCCAAGTAATCCAGAGGATACTGGTGATTGTATCTTGGGCTTGTGCCTTCACCAATGCACTGACTCACACTGTTACCCTATCTACTCTCACCTTTTGTGGCCCCAAGGAAATCAATCACTTTTACTGTGACCTTCCACAGCTCTTCCAGATCTCATGCTCTAGCACCCACGTCAATGAGCTGGTGCTCTTTATTGCTGGTTTCTTGATGGCAGGTATTCCTGTGCTTCTCATCATCACCTCCTACATCCACGTGGCCGCTGCAGTTCTACGAATCCGTTCAGTGGAGGGCCGGAAGAAGGCTTTCTCTACATGTGGCTCCCACCTCACTGTAGTCTCCCTCTTCTATGGGACAGGTATCTTCAACTATATGCGCTTGGGTTCAGAGGAAGCGTCAGACAAGGATAAGGGGGTAGGAGTTTTCAATACTGTCATCAATCCCATGCTGAATCCACTCATCTACAGCCTCAGAAACTCTGATGTTCAGGGTGTTTTGTGGCGAGTGCTTGTAGGGAGGTGATCACGAAAGAATGACAAGATAATTCCTTTCTTGCCCTTATAAGGCCAGGAACCATTACCCCCACCCCTGCCACACATTGTTATGTGAATATTTGTGCTTGTTCTACAAGGAAACAGTATCTAGTTCATTCATTCATTCATTCATTCATTCAGCTAATATTTATTGAATTATTTCTATGATCCAGACCCTTTTCTGTGCTCAAAGAACAAGAAAGACAAAGGTCTGTGTTTGTTTTAATAAAGAAAGACAAAATAAATAAACATCATGTAAGGATGGTGGAGGGACAGCACAGGAGGGGAAGGCTCTCTATGAGGTGGATTGGTTCAGGACTAGGGTAATCGGGATGGGAGTGTCAGAGACAGTGCGATTGGCACAGGACAGAGAGTTTAGGGCTGTTGTACATAGGGTCGCTATGAGTCGCAAGCGACTCAATGGCATATAACAACAACAACAAAGGTGTACCTTACATGGTGACAAGGATTATGAAGAAAAAGAAATAAGATAGGAGGATATGAAGTTAGATTCTGACAAACCAACTCCTTGACAAGTTGTTTCCCTGAGGACTCTGCTCATTTTCTGAGTACAGTTAAAATCCTGGAAGTCCCATATACCTGGGCAACATTAATCCCAGCCTAGGACCCCAAGACTATCATTCCAAAGGTTCTTTCCGTGAGAATTTGAGATCTCTCCCAGATCAAATTTCAGATTGCTTTTTCAAAACATCAGACCAATGATTATTTGTTTACTTGTCCATCTCTCATTTCCAAGAAAATCAAGTCCTTTTCTTCCCACATAACAACCTGCAGCATATTCAGTGGTGGGTAAGTAGGTATTAGAGATGTAGAGCATAGCAACGCAAAGGATCTTCCAGTTGCTCCTTAGGAATTCACCAACTGCTCCTTGGGTGAGAGCTGATCAGTCTACAGTTTGAAAAACCCAACTCACAGTCAACTTGATTTTACTAAATAAAACTACACTAATGCTTGTTGGATATATTTTAAGCTCAAAAAAGATTCTTCTATCTCCAACCTTGACCATGTATTGATTCCTATTGAGATGCAACAAAGTCTTTGAAAGAACAAGCTTTATATTCCAACAATTTGCTCAAAATTTTTAATGCAGAATACACAATCCTCTTTATTGGGACATCGCCTCCAATGCTTTCATTTTCTCCTCCAAACACCAGAGCTAAGGAAAATGAATATCTATCCATAAATAGTTTGAAATTTATGCCTATTTCTAACTTTCCCTTAGATAGCTACAATCTAGAGTATGTCTTCATCTTGTATTTGTCTAATCTTCAATCCGTTCATTCCTGATAACTGTTTTCTTTACAGACCCCCTTAGAAGGATTATTTCCTTCTCATTGAAATTTTATTACCCTTCTAACATATCCTCTCTCATTCATAAAACTATCTCTGACTTAGCCTTCTCCATAATTTCTTACTAGAAGTCAAACTATTAGAAAGGTGGGCTGAGATGCAATATTAAAAAATAAATTTAAAAAAATAACATGGCAGTAGGGAAGGAGACAGGATCTGAAGTAAAGCAATGAAGATAAAAACGTGAGGGGAGACAAGATGATAAGATAAAAGGGGGAAGGTAGAAATGAGGGAAAGTGTAGAATAAGAGAACAGATGAGGAGAAAAACTGTGAATTAGAGCTCTCAAACCAGAAGACTAAAAAAATATCAAATAGGCCAAAGATTAGTGTGAAAATGAGTAAAGATGCAGATGAGAATAAAATTTGTACTTTAAAATTATGTCCTGTCGCATGTGATCATAAAATAAACAGCATCACCACTGCTAATGTTATCATTGGCTCCAACCCTTCTAGAAAGAAAAAATACGAATACACCAGATGCTCTGCTGGAGAAGGAGGGACAGTCTCCTCCTGTACCAGTCAGATCTGATTTGACGGTACACACACACACACACACACACACACAATCAATAAATAATTTTTTTAAAAAAAGGAAGAAAAAATAGCTTAAATTTTACAGGTGGTGTAATGATGTAATCTGTAGACTCATTTCTCTCTTTTTTTTTCACTAGGAAGAGAGAGTAGGACTGACAAATACAGACAGTGGTGGAGTATAAGTTGTTCTTATATGCTGTCGAGTCATGTACAACTCATAGCAACCCTATGCAAAATAACTCTGAACCATGCCCTATCCTGAGCCAATCTCACTGTCTCTAACACACCTGCCCTTATTACTTCAGTGACTGTGTCAGTCCATCTCATCTAGGGTCTTCCTCTCCTGCATCATCCCTCCACCCTTCCAAGCATGATGTCCTTCTCCAATGACTGGTCCCTCCTGGCAACATGCCCAAAGTATGTGAGATGGAGCTTCAGAATCCTTGCCTCTAAGGAGCAACTTGGTTTCACCCTCTCTGAGACAGACCTGTTTGTTCTCTTGGAAGTTCATGGTATGTTCAATATGTTTCTCCAGCACCACAACTTAAAGGCATCAATTCGTCTTCTGTCATTTTTTGTCATTATCCATCTCTCTGATGTATAGCAAGTAATTGTTAAGATGATGGTCTGGATCAGACCACCTTAATCTCTAGACTAATATCCTTGCTCCTCAGTACTCTGGAGAGGTCCTTAACAGCAGATTTTCAGGGATTATTCTTCCAAAAATTTTAGAATCCACAAAAGAATTCTTTATATTCTTGCAGATGAAAACCATTTGAATAAAATTAGGAGATTGTGTGAAAATGTTTGACTTTTGGGAAGGGAGAAAATGGTGTCAAATTAGATGTTCAAGAGGATTTTCAGCTATAACTGTAATTTTCTTCATTTAAACACACACTGTGGCAACATGCTAAGATTTATTAATAGTGTGTAGCAGGTGCACAAGCAATTTTTACTTTCATTCTCTATGTTGTTGTTGTATACCATCTAGTAGGAACCAACTCACAACTGACCCTCCAGTGGGCTTTCAGAGGCAATAATCACACAGGAGATTGCCCATCCTTCTCTCTCTGACCAGCTGGTGGAATTGAACCACATGCTTTTGGGTTAACAGCGCAACTTCTTGCCACTAGGCCATTAGTGATAGTCACAGCTGGAAGAAAAAAAAAACCAAACAAACACAGAACAGGCCTTTTTATGTTGCTATACGCACACCTAGAGCAATACTTCCTTATTTTTCTAATATTCTATTGTGTGTACTCACGACATATTAGTTAGGTATTCCTCAACCTTAAATACCTATTTTCCTGTTACCACCAGTAATACTTTCTATGTTTCCCAAAAGATTTTCTCTGAGATATATGTACAAGAATGCAATTTCTGAGCATTAAAAAGCAGGTATGTAGACCTGGTGTACAAGTTGCCATACAGTGGTAACTTGTGGTTGCTGTAAGGCTGAACACTGTGACACTGATGTGTCAAATGTGTTAATGGCTGGTTACCCAATGCGGACAGAGAGAGGGGTGGAGCTCCTCAATTAAAACAAGCTTAGAAGCAGGAGTGGCATCCACTTCCGTAATAGCTTGCCTCCAGAAACCCTATGAATCTGGAGAGAGGACGAGAGACACGCAAGCGTAGAGGACTCTCCTTCATAGGGTCACTATGAGTTGCCTGCGACTCAACGGCACTTAACAACAACAACAACAACAACAACATGTAGAGATAAGTAGATATGTAGAATACTGATATTTATGTTTCATTTTAATATGTAATTAAAATTATTCCTTTTCCAAGTGTCTGTCTCTACTAGTTTATCCTCTTATTAACAGTATGTAATATTCCCACATCCCCCCACTTCCTTATCAACCACTGAGCTATAAGTATGTCTGGCTTGCCGTTCTGATTAAAGTGACATTACTTCCTTCCTCTTTTTACAAGTGAGATTAGATGTGTCAGAGATGAATTTGGCTTAGAATAGAGCAAGGTTCAGAGCTGTTTACATAGGGCCCCTAAGAGTTGCCAGTGACTCAACGGCACATAACAATACTTAACAATTTCTGTCTCCTTTTCTGAAATCCTCTTTTTAAATGCTTTGCCCGTATTTCTTCAGGATTGTCTTATCTTTCCTTTGGTATTGTTGTTGTTATGTGCCATAGAGTTGCTTGTGACTCATAGTGACTCTATGTATAGCAGCTCTAAACCCTGTTCTATACAGTACCAACCTTATTTTCTCTGACACATTTACCCCTACTACCCCAGTCACTGAGCTAATACGTCTCATCAAGGATCTTCCCCTCTTATGCCACCCCTCCACCCTTCCAAGCATGATGTCCTTCTCCAAGGACTGGTTCTTCCTTGCAACATGCCCAAAGTATGTCAGATGAAGCTTCAGAATCTTTGCACATGAAGAAATGTTCAAAATCCCTAGCTCTAAGAGAGATGCAAATCAAAACAACTATGAGATATCATCTCACCCCAGTCAGAATAGCAAAATTTAACAGAACAGCAAGCAACAAATGCTGGCGAGGTTGTGGAGAAACTGGAACCCTTATTCATTGTTGGTGGGAATGTAAAATGGTGCAACCACTGTGGAAGGCGGTGTGGCACTTTCTCAATAAATTGCAAATAGAAATACCATTTGATCCAGCAATTCCACTACTGGGAATATATCCCAAAGAGACCGTAACTGACATCCAAGCAGATATATGCACAGCCATGTTTATCACAGCTCTGTTCACAATAGCAAGGAGTTGGAAACAACCCAGGTGCCCATCAACAAACGAATGGATAGAGAAGCTGTGTATATTCACACAATGGAATACTATGCCGCATTGAAAAACAAGGAACTCATGCAATATTAGTCAAAATGGGTGATCCTGGAGGACATTATGCTGAGTGAAATATCTCAGTCGCAAAAGGACAAATATTGCATGGTGCCACTGCTATAAAATGGGACTAATATCAGGGTTGGGGTAAGACTGAGAAAAACTGGATAAATTGTGTATACTGCACTGACACAGATGAGGGAGTGAATAATTTAAAAGCAACGTATGATAGGGTATTATGGTTATCACAAGAGCCCA